AAAGACGGTTACTACATATTTGCATAAGATTACCTTGTTACCATTCCTCATTTGTCTTCCCTAAATGTCATCTGCACACTTCCTGAGTTTTTTGGCATGGTGATTGGCTCTGGAGCTGGAAAGCAAATCCACTGATCATTCATGCTTTAAAACAAGAGGTGAGGAAAAAGAGTCACCATCTGAAAGCAGTTTTCTGCAGAGGAAGACAGGGAAGTATTACTTGAGACACAAGTGGACAGATCCATGTTGTAAATGACAGGAAATGATCCATGTGGCCCTATCATCACAGTGACCAGATGCTGCTCCTCATCTGGTCAGCAGACTCCCCCTCCTCTAAGGAGCTGCAGTTCCTATGCCAGCCAAGCATGCTCCGTAGGACCTGTGAGAAGCTGGTGCTGTTCAGCCTCTGATGATTTCCAGGGGGTATTACAAACAGCTTATACTCTCACAAAAGAGCAGTATGGTTCTGCTCAAAACAAAGGGACAATAGGTCAGTATGCTCTGATGGAAGCAATGATGTCATATAAAAGTCAATTCCTTAACATGTCCTGCCTTGGGCCCATCAACTTCTCAAAACATTTTGGATACAGCCATGGCATTAAAGTATGGAAACTGAATGGAAAGAACTGTAAAAAACAGATAAATAGTTATTACAAAACAAAACACAGAGTAAACTTAGTTTGCACACTTTATTCCATTTTTTAGTCTGATCCTGGTAAGATAAGCAGAACCCATCTGTTTAAAAAAAAAAGTTGAGCAGGATATTGTAGCTGTTTTTTCCCCATGTTAATACAAATCAACTGATTACTAATTCAGGCTCAGGAAGAGATTTTCTCTTAGAGCACATGGGCAGAAAACAGGAAATTCTCCAGTTTTTGAAGAGATGTTTGTATTTAGATGAGGAAGAACATATCTCTCCTGATCAGTGTGGGATGTTTGTTACTTTGTACTAGAAAGCTCTTTGGTACAGCTGAGAATGAAGCTAACAGGGAAAAAAGCACATGCCAGTGTTTTCAGGAAATGCACTCTTTAGTTTATCATCATATTGAAATGATCAGATGTTAGGCCATGTCTTATTTTTTAGGTGTTCTGCACTTGTGTAAATGAAAGAAAAAAATAATAATGGTTGTGTTCATATGATTTGTATTCCACCAGATAAATCAAGCCTAATATTTAAGGAAGACCAAAAGCAATGATGTCTGGCATTACAGGGAATTATCTGTTTTGGATGGCCTAATGTTAGAGAAGCTTTTGAGAACAGCTTACCTGGACAAACGCACTAGTACCTCTGTAGCTCTGGCAAGGATAGCTTCTTCCTGGAATATCATCTATACAAAGGTCAGCTATGGCCTATAGCTTCCTTCAGCTAACTCTGTAAAGAGCCTATCTAGCTTGTACTCATTCTTTCATTTCTTAGGGTTTATTTTCTTGATATCTTGTATAATTCTTCATCCTCTTCATCTCGTGGAAGCCAGAGAAGCATTTCTGCCAAGAAATATAGATCATCAAAAATCAGTTCTTTTGCTTAAAAGAAGCATCCTGTTATCATCATTTGGGTATTTTTACTAAATACTAAATAGGTCTTTCACAACTACAGCCCCCTGTGGACTTGTCCTCATCAATAATTCTACTTTTCTTCTTTTTTTTTCTTTTTTTTTTTTTCCACACAGGCTGAAACACTTCCTAGACTATCAATGAAAAGCCAAAAAAAATCTAACAAACTTGCGTATTATTGGGTGAAATAGGACAGGAATCAGCTGTGATCTGAGGATGTAAAATCAGGATTGTGAAAGGTGAGAAGCAAAACTGCAAATGGGGAAAATAAGATTTGGATTAAATCTCTGGAAATATCTTATCATAGTAAAATCTATAATATAATGAAATAATTTTTCACAAAAAGAAGAGGGATACTCTAACTGGGGCTTCTGTTGGGATCTATTATCCATGAAAACTTGGGTTAGTTTAGAGACAGGCAAATAAATCTAAATAAATTGGATATAGGACTTCTGTATATTATTTATTCTTGGAATAACAATCATTGAGATGGGTCTTATGCAATACACCCCAGTATCACATCCCTGATATCACCATGTATGTCAAGCTGACAATTGTCCACTTAGTAAAGCGTTGTTGGAAATGTATGGTCACTCGGCCTCTCCATCTCTACAAACATCAGGGTTCTGCCCTACCTTGTCTCCTCTTACATCCACACTGTTCTCACATGCAGTCAGCTGGGTCATAGAGGTATCAACCTGCAAACTTGAATCAAATACATCAAAATTCTCCCACGATTGCTCCTAGCCATTTTGAGACATGGGCAATGCAGAGAATTCAGCCTGTTACTCCTGCTTTCCTTCCCCCTGAGGCTTCAAACAGGCAGCAAGCTAAGGCTTCATTTTTCTAGGGACATCTTGTCTAAGTTGCTACTGCATTCTTAAGGGTACCCAAAATATAAATCTTTATTTCAGTGTTTGAAAGCAGCAACAACACTTAAATTCAAGAATCATTAGATGTTCTCTACTGTACCTTAGATACTGCTTCCCCCATAGTGACAAACAGCAAGTTTTTAGCACAGAAACTACCTGTAACAAATGTTATGAATTATTCTAAAAGTGCTGTCTTGGCTATTTCTTTACCAACAGTCAGAGAAAAAAAAAAGTTATGCCAAAACGTTGGTTTTAAATTAACGTTTAGTTATAATTAATATTTAATTTTAAATAACATGTTAATTTTGAATGAACATTTTTGCTTTATTTTTTCTGATCTGTAAGGGAAATCTCCTATTTCTCAGCTTTATTTCCTCATGAATGATACAGAATGATACAGCCATTCAAACATACTATAAGCAGAAACACAACCTCTCAAAACAGCCTACATCTTTCTCAAGAACATTGTATCACTTATACTAATTCAGGTCCTTTTACACCGGTGCACAGGTAGTGGGTTTTGCCTGTACAGTAAGTGTCATCTGTTAATATTATATCAAATAATTCAACGTTCAGTTACTCAGTTACTTCAGTTACTCAGAAGTGACAGCAATGAATGCTACACAGTAAAGTTTGAGTGGGTTACTGCTGATGGAAGTGAAGGTAACTAGGTTATTGCCACCTTCTAAATCTATTTGTGCAAAAATGAGACAAGTGGCATAAAATGATCTGAGGCTTAGCTTCATTAACCTGAGATTTAACAATATATCGAAAGAAAAAGCAGCTGGTTTTACAGGTGTTACAGATTTTAAGATGAGGGTGCCTTCTTAAGAACATGAACACACGGAATTACAGACTTCCTGTTTTTTTGGCCAGAGTGACATCAGCATAATAAAGAGTGTTTTGAAAGTACTGCCTACAACTTTGTTTTCATTCATTTTTATGAACTTGCAACACATTACTGGCTTGGGCAAAGCTGTCTGTCTGCAGCTACAATTATTCAACAGCTTAGACATAGATATATGGAAATCACTGCCATGTAGAATACCCTCTTAGCAGCTGCATGAGTTGGAAGTTAGGAACGTGTTTAAATACTTCTCTGAACTGGGGTCTTAAGAAAATAACACTTGCAGACTGCCATCATGTCTGCTAATGTTGCTGTAGGACTAGCCGTGGAGCCATCTGGCACAGATCACACAGTGACAGAATCACAGGAAGAAAGGAGCCTGGAAAGATTCTCTGGAGGCCATCAAAGCAGAGCCAGCTTCACAGCCAGATCAGGTTGTCTCAGGTCTCAGCCAGGTAGGCTCCAAAAATATCCAACAATGGAGACTATAAAACCTCTCTGAGCAACCTGTCCTGCTGTTTGACCACTACTCTAGATCATGCCATCCTGAAATGTTATCTACAGGACTAGTATGGGTACTTTTTTAGTGCTGGCCACTTACCAAAGGTAGGAATGTAAGACAGAAGGGGCTTCGAGGTTTGGATTTTTTTATCCTTGAATCATCTCTGATGCTTTTTATTTCTTTTTAAAGCATTTCTGATGCTTTTTATTTTTTTTATTTTTTCAGGTTCCTTAAATATAAATGCAACATACCACAAAACAAACAGGACTTCTCATGATGTTTCGAGAGTCCACAAGATTAATCTTATTTCCTGATGCTTAGCAATTATTATTCATGCAGTAAAGATCTGAAAAATGTCTGAAAGAGAAGTGGAGATAAAATTGCAACTTTTTAGTAGTTCTATCCCCTTTATATCATTCTTCCAGAAGGAAAAATTATGTAGCTAAAAAGTATATATATAGAAAGTATATTTCTACTATTGTTTCCTACTTTCCTACTATAATTGTTGTGGCGAACATTTGATACAAATTCTGCAACAGCCTTGGAAAAGACGGGATATTCTGTCACATTTTGGAGATACGCTGCTAGGCAAAAAAACCCGCTTGAAGTGATTCCTCGACAGGACAAAATATGACTCAGCTTCCCTAAGTCACAGTTTATCACAAACCATCATCGCTCTTCTTTAAAGCTAAATCGGGCAGCTTTTTTTATGGGCAAGGACAGTCCAAACGCCCGCCTGCGGGCGCCGCGGGATCCCCCGCTCGGGTCGCGGCTCTTCCCGGTCGCGGAAGCGGCGGAGGATCCTGTGCCTTTAAGGGCGCCCCGCCCCGCGCGCGCTCCCGCCCCTCGCGGCGGGTTGAGCCAATGGGAGCGCGCGCGAGGGGAAGGCGGGAGAATGCAAACCCCTGGCAGCGCCGCCGGCCGCGCCTTATAAGGGCAGGACCTCGCGCATGCGCGCGGCGGGCAGGGGCGGGGGCGCCGAGCGGGGGCTTTGCTTCGGCGGCGGCACCGCGGGAAAGGGCGCGGGACCCGCGGGGGGCGGCCGGGCCGGAGAGCGCTCACCGACATCCGCTCACCGCACACCGCGGCGCGGCCGCCCGCCGGCACAGGGGCGGCGGCGGCGGGAGGAAGAGGAGGAGGGGGAGAAGGAGAAGGAGGAGGAGGAGGAGGGAGCGGGGCCGCCGCAGGGACCCCGCGCCCGGTGCGGGCGGCGCGGCGCCGGCGGATGTGCTGCTGGCGCGGGGGGATGATGCTGGCGGGGCCGCAGCTGGTGGCTGGGCCGGCGGCGCCGGGCGGAGAGCGGGCCCGGCTGCTCTCGCTCTACGTGCAGGACTACCTGGAGTGCGTGGAGTCGCTGCCGCTGGACATCCAGCGCAACGCCTCGCTGCTGCGGGAGATGGACACGCAGTGCCAAGGTGGGTGCCTGCGGGGCACCGGGCGGGGAAGGGAACGGGGACGGCCGCCCGCCCAACCCGCCTGCTGCACATGCGCCTGGAGCGGAGGGGCCGGGGCCGCGGTGGGACGCTGCCGGGCCCTGCGGGGCTGAGCCCGCGGCGGTGCCGGGGGGGCGCGGGGCTCCCGGTCCCTGCTGCGGAGGCGGCCCCGCTCCGGGGGCGGCGCTGCTCGGCGTTAGGCCCCGGCTCCGCTGTGCGGGGCCGCTCCCGCCCCGCTCCGCCCCGCCGGCGGTGCCGCTGGAGGCGGGGGCGCGGGATTCGGCCTTTCCGCAGCTCCGCCCGCCGGGCGGGGGCGCCGGTCCGGGCGGGGCCCTGCCCCTGTCCCGCGTACACAGCAAGGGGCGGCGGGGGATGCATAACGCGTCAGCAGCGCTCCCCTGGGTCACGGAGCGGGTCCGCGGAGCGGGAAGTTGCCCTAAACTTATCCGGAGGCACGGCTTCTTTGGAAGAGAGGTTCAGTGCGCATTAAAGCATCCCGCGGAGTTAGCGGTGCCCGGCAGCTGCCGGCTTGCCCTGCCATGAGGCAGAAATTTGGTCTCCCGGAGTCGGCACTGGAGCCGCATTTCCCTCCTTCGGCATGGGCAGGAGGGGACCGAGGGGAGCGCCAAGGCCTCTCAGACGGTGCTTGGCCACCTCCGGAGGCAGCTGTCGGGAAGGGATTTTTCCAGTTATCTTTCTGATTACTCGGAAGGATACATAAGAACAGGCTTTTGTAAGTTTCCTGGGATTTTAAAGTTTAGAGAGCGTAGACTTGCCTGCAGCATTTGGAATTCCTAGTTAAGGCTAGAATACCTAGAAGGCTCTTTACCTCCTGATCGGTGGTGACTATTCAGCGCTCCTCATCTGCCTTGAACAGACTCAATCTTTTATTTAGGCTGTATCTCCTATATATATCATCCAGTCGCTAATACAATACCGGGCCATAGCGGAAGTTTGTTGCTAGTTTTAACCAAAGCCTTCAACTGTTTTAAAAAACAACAACAAAAAAATCTTGAAAGACCCTGAAAGATGGATAAAAATATTTTAGGCCCAAGTTTTAAGATGTAAAAGCAATGCTCTGTTATTTCAGCTAATTTGAAAGGTAGTGATAGTCTGTGCAGAGGGAACAAAGTCACTCCTGTGCTTAGAAAACAAATCCTTTTAGCTTTCATTAGCTCCACCAAACTTAATCAGATTATCTGTAATGAACACTTGGCCCTGGTTTGTGTTGGGTTGAGGGTGGTTTTTTTTGTTTTTGGTTTTCCCCTAACAGAGATTTCAGAGCTGTTTATTACAATGTATGGGTGCCTTCTCTAGTCTTAGGGACTCACAAAGCATTTGGTAAACGTCCATCTCTCTTAGTCAAAAAGTTCTTTCCTCTTTTTAGTGGATGCTGATCCATTTAAATCTTTACAGGCTGCATCTATGGAATAACTGATGTGGGGGTCAATGTTGTTCTCTGTCACAGTGTGAAAAAGTGAACAGTTATTGTTTGTGGGTTCTGCTGGGTAGGGCATTCCAAATATGGGAAATCTGTGTAACTATATCTACACTTTCCAGCCCCCCTCCAAAGAAGTTCATGTGGGAAATAATGTGGCTAGAGATTATTGTACTCTGGTTATGCCTTTCTCATTCAACAGCATACAAAGTACCTTTACTCCATGCTTTTCAGGAGCAGAGATTAAGATTTTTTTAGTTTATTTTCCCCCTTTTCAGGGCAACAGGCAAGTGATGCAGCTGAAGATACAGGGAAACAAAGCTAATGTTTTTCATGGTAGCTGGGATGCTGATATTGAGAAAATACAGGTTAATTGAGTTACCAGACAAGAGGAATCTTCCCCTAGTGAAAGTCTGGAACAGAACAAGATGCGTTTAGCTCCTGTTGTCATACAGGTTTCAGAATTTATAGTAAAAAGCAGCTGTTCATGCTTAAGCTACTGTTTCAAGATGTCAGCAGGAAAAAAATCGCTGGGAACAATGTTGAGATAATAGCTATGACTTCTATTTAGCACAAGCTTGAATCATTTCACAACTGTATAATGCAGACAAATTCTTTAAAAATGAAAGCCAGTTTGTGAAATGCAGGTCTTTAGGAAGAGATAGACTGTGCTGCATATCTTCTTGCTTTAGAAATAAATAGTTCAGTACCATTTATGAATTCTGTTTCCAGTTCAAATAAAATCCTTAAATTCTGAGGGCACCAGTACTGTATCTAACACTGTGCATCAAGTTGTCAGTTTTTCTAAAGTATTTCCTGTCCTTTATGTATAGATCTAGTGTAACTTTTGGCTTGGAAAATACTGTTTTAAAATTCAGCAATATAGAACAGCAGTGTACAGACTAAGACTGATGTATAAGGCATTTGTTGGTCTCATATTTAGGTTCATTTAACTTGCTTCTGAGTACTGTATTTAATGAGAAATTCACAGCAACTCATGCAGTTATTTTGCATGACTAGCAAGAAGGAAAGCTTGGTAGTCAAGCTATAAACCACTCATTTACTAGTTGCTTAAAAATATCCTGTGATGCACTAAAGAGAGTGTCACTTATTCTCAGAAGTTCAGCCTTGATTTAAAATGCAACTTGCTGTAATTTGTTTTGGTAATAGGAAAAATATTTTGAGTGATGTAAGTTAATTTTCATCCTGACTGTAAATTTACTATTATGTAACTTCAGTTGTCATACTCCTTTTATAACTACACTGAAACTGTAATACCAAACCCTTAGATGAATAAGAAGAGGAAGGCAGAGGACCCAGGTATCGTAATTCTGGAGTGTTATATATCATGATACATAATGATTCTATGAATTTAAGGTTTCTTCCTGTGATAAAATAAGCTATTGCTTTGGTATTTAGGCCAGGGGTTTGGAACTATTGTGGTAAGGACTCTTAATAGAAATTCTTGCTTTTTCAGATGAAGGGAGGATCTGGATTGTCTACGCATCAGCAACTACTGTGTCCCTTTTCTTGGGTTATCCTTTCTTTTTCCAATGGCTAGAATAAGCTTGCTCTTTCTTAGAACTTGAGAATTTTTTTCTTGCAACAATTAAAATTTGTACTATTTCCCATCAGTTAGAAATACATTCCTGTGTTTTCTTGAGCATGTTCCATCTTGTGTAATTATTCCTGTTATTATCTTTATTTTATAGAAGCGTTAAAAGAAATAGATGATGTCTATGAAAAATACAAGTCGGAAAATGACCCAGTTCAGAAAAAACGCTTGCAGCAGCATCTTCAGCGTGCATTAATCAACAGTCAAGAACTTGGAGATGAAAAAATTCAGATAGTTACTCAGATGCTAGAACTGGTAGAGAATAGAGCCCGTCAAATGGAAACACACTCTCAGTGTTTTCAAGATCTGTCTGAGAACGAAAAGCCTCTAGAAAAGGCAAAGATGGAGTCGTGCCAGCCAGAGAGATCTTCCCGCAGACCCCGTCGCCAGCGAACCAGCGAGAGCCGTGATCTGTGCCACATAGCCAATGGTATCGATGACTGCGATGATCAGCCGCCTAAGGAAAAGAGATCGAAATCTTCCAAGAAGAAAAAACGCTCCAAAGCCAAACAGGAGAGGGAGGTTTCACCTGTAGAATTTGCAATTGATCCCAATGAACCAACTTACTGCTTATGTAACCAAGTGTCTTATGGCGAAATGATAGGATGTGACAATGAACAGTGCCCTATTGAGTGGTTCCACTTCTCCTGTGTTGGACTCACCTACAAACCCAAGGGGAAATGGTATTGCCCTAAGTGCAGAGGAGACAATGAGAAAACAATGGACAAATGTACTGACAAATCAAAAAAGGATAGAAGATCGAGGTAGTGAAAGCAATTTATGTTTTAAAGAGTTACTCCTTTTATATTAAAATGTTTCATTTCAATGAAAACATTGAAAAACAGTGAAAAGAACACTGTTTTAGGAAATGCATAAGACTATGCAATAATTTTTAATCTATACTATTAATGGAGTATTAAAAGCTGTTATATACCTTCTGTGATCTTTAACTTTCTGCACTGAATAACCAAATAATTGAAACAGGGTGGCTTCAGACCTTTCACAGAAGACATTACAAGCATATGGAGCTTGATTCCAATTTAACCCATTAGTATTTTAAAGAACCTTGTGAATTTTGAACTAATGGTGGTGGGAAAGATACTGAAGAACTTCTCATGTTATGGTAAAGGTGTTGAAAGGCCTCACGTAACTGCTAGCATCTTAACAACTGAGTTTGTTCTTTATCCCAGGTTTTACGTTTTCAGTTTTTGTGTTAACATCACACATTTGGAGTTAGGGTTTTTGAATTCAGCTGTAACTGTAAAAGTCTTCCGAGCTAAAAGCAGACCTCTTCAGTGACTTTCATATGACCAGTATGTTATTTCAAGGAAAAAAATACCACTAACTTAAGCTTTTTTTTTTTTTTTTTGTCAATATTAAACTCTTGTCTTTGTGACTTTATACTTGGGAGTCAGTTTTTGGGTATGATAGAATTATGGTGTATACTCAATTTTGGATATTCTTAGTAGGTTTTGTTTGAGTTTTGTCAAGCATCCTGATATTGTTGAAGATGATCTCTCTATTGCCATAACTATATCCTTGATTGTTTATATTTTTCCACTGCTTGTGTAAAGCTCGAAATGATAGAAGGATCCCTTAGGAGGAGAGGATATTACCTTTTCTGAGAACAGAAATTGCAAATATGGTGGAATCTTCATCATAATTGATCTCTCGAGAGCTGAAACGTGACTGGTATTCTCTGGGCTGTAAACTTTAATACCTTAAGTGGTATTTGTGTCTGCGTGTGGCTATACCTGGGTTTAGGCATAGTACCACGTTTCTTGGACTAGGGCAACTGTCTAAAAAGCCTGAAGGTAAAAGCTTTCAATAAAAGTTTTGACAGATAATAAAAAAAAAAGGCATAAGCATGCCTGGCACAGAGCCAATAGAGAAATCCCAGCAGGTTTCTGACAGGTTATGTAAGAGTGTTGTCCGGATGTATGCTGGTAGTATCTAAACACTACTTGGGCGGTACTTAAAAGCGAATTTCCTAATCTCCATGTCTTAGGGGAAGTGAAAAAAAGATGAAAACAGGTGTTCTGCTCCTTTGTAATGGGAGATGCTAGTGGAGAAGTGAGTGGGGTACCAAAGCTTGCAGTTAGGGTTCCTGCTCAATAATCTCTTCTTGATACTGGAGTTCTGGTGGGCTTAGCAGCAGCTCTGCAGGGCTGAGTGTGGGGGTTATCTATGGGTGGGCTGCAAGTGCTCATAAGTCCCCATAGGTCTCTACCCTTTGCTGCTAAGGTTTCCCTTGACAGCCCAGAGGGAGAAGTGACACCATCTCTGGCCAAGCCTGGCTGGAAGCAGTTGTGCTGAGTTGAGAGCAGCGCAGAAGGCAGGTGAGCAAAGGCAAGCTGGGATGGATGAATGCCATCAAAACTCCTTCCTGCATCCCCACTAGAGGGCTGTGCTGGCTGGGGCTGGAGGGCAGGATGTGTCGTGCATGGCATACACACAAAAAAAGCCTTGATGCTGTCAGGCCAGATGGCACCAGTCGATGTGCAGGACACTCAATATTATAGGCTATGTAACATACTGAGCTTGTTTCCTCAGTTATAATCTGATTACTTAACAGGATTTAACACTTGCAAGTAATAGTAATTATATGTCAGGGGACTGTAAAGGTAGTGTTTTCAATTTTTGCTCTGAAATTGTAGGTTTATTAAGTGGACTAGTGCTCCACTGGGGAGACCCGTACCACAGTAATTAAACAGCTCCTGCAGGAAACTACTGTAAGGGCTCTGACCATCAGCAGGGTAGGAGAGAGGGTAAGCCTTATCTCTACCATGCTTTCCAGGCGTAGTGGATGATGTGAGGTTGCAATGACAGTCTTCTTGAGGGAGCTGGATCATGGCTACTGATGGAGTATGATCGGGCCCACTATTGGAGATGAGTGGCATAAGTTGTTCTCTGTGCATTTTACTACTTTTTTAATTTGTTATGGTTTAATGATTCTCAAATTTCCTTCTTGGCAAAATTGATTGGAAACCTAGGGCTGAAGATTGTATGAACATGTAATGTTGACCTAAAATGGCATGCTTCCTAGTACTAAAAAACAAACATCACCTAAGTAAACACTCCCATTGCAGAGTGAAGTAGAAGTGAATTTGTGACTATTAACATTACTAATTTATCTTGAAAAGTGTTTCTTGAATTTGCACTGGGTAAATCAAGAATAATTTTTTCCAATGCTGAGGAGAAAGCAGGAAGCCTTATATAATTGTTCATCTGAAATAATTGCTAAAGTAGGAAGTGTATGTTGGGGTGTTACAGAAAGAAAATTTTAGATTTTGAAAGTGGTCCAGATATCTCTAATGCAGAGATAGTTTCTTTTATGCTAATGGACCTTCTAGTAGGGAATATGAATTCTTAAGGTTTCCAGGAAGATACTGCTGGGGAAATTGCACTTGCTTGCCTAATACATGAAATTGCTTGAATGTAGAAATAATTCGGTTTATATTGCAGATTAGCAGCGTGCCTCAAATATATATGGGTGCTTCTAAAATTGCTTCTTTTAAATGCTCTGGCCAATTTGTTGTGAAGACGTACATGAGAAGATATGATGTTATCTGGCATTTAGCATTTCACCACTTTTTTTTTTTTTAACCAAACACAAATTTTGTGGGTTTGCATCCATTTTCATAGAAGATCAATGGTAATTGCTGAAGATGCACATAAGAGGCTAGTATGAAATCAGAAAGGTAAGTAGAGAACTCTTACGTTGCTTCTTAATGTTGAGTTACTTTTCTTAAAAGGATGAACCTCACTAGTGAAGTGAAAACAAAAAGTAAACACTGCTAAACCAGGTCATCTTCAAGATATATATTGATTGTCATGAAGTTTAGCTTCTTGCAAAAAAAAAAAATCTGGGCAACACACACTTTGGAAGTTGATAGAAGTGTATGTGACTACACAGGAAACCACTTCCTCTTTTGAAAATAATTGCTGCACCCTAATTCAGCCTAGGTTATATCTTGTTTCTTGAAGCTTATGAAAATATGGTACACTTCTAAGTTCTTGCTTTTTACCTTTCAGTTTTGAAGTAATGCAAGTTCAGCAGCAGCAAAAGGTCCCCATAAACTACTTAAAAGAAACAGTATCAGAGCGAGAGTGTTTCTTGATCATTGTCCCATGGACCAGTTTGATTAATCTTGACAAAATAATCATTTAGTCAAACCAAACTTTAAAGCAAAACACAAATACACGTAATAGAAAGATTACTGTTTTGAAAGCAAAATGAACGATTTCATATTTGCCATCTATATTGTAAGGCCATCTTGATATCTGCAGCACAGTGATAATACCTCCATATTTAAACTAGTTTTAACTATATTTCCCTGCCAAACTGTAACTAATCTACACATCCAGAAATAGTAATGTGGTACTGACAAGTCTTTAAACTAGTACAGAATGGTGGCAAGTGAAATGCCCATTTCTTCCTTGAATTTATCTAAGAATTTCGTTTTGGATATTCTTTCAGAGCTGAAGTGAGCCTTTGTAAAGAAGATGGCATTTCGTAACTTTGAAGACTCAATTTAAAAGCCTCTCACTTCAGCTCGAAGGTTGTCTGAATTCATACTTGACATGAGCAGTTTGGCACTTCTGTGGCTTGTGCCGTTTCTGACTGCAACAGATCTGGCTCTTGAAAGTCCTGATCTGGGTTTTTATTCTTTAGGCTCAGCTGCTCTACTGGGACAAAACTCCAACAATTGTCACACCAGCAAGTTAATGGCTTAGAGTTCTTTCTCTCTCTTATCTGCATACACACTTATTTTATTCAGAGGTCTCATCTCCAGTAGCTCTGCAAGTCTTTGACATTGACACCTCAGATTGAAAAAAATACTGAAGGTTTTTGCATCTGATACTCTGAAGCTGATGAGCAGGGCTGTCACTCAAATTCACAGGAGTTGTTTTTCTGTCCAGTGCTAGATAGGTAAGACGTTCTGCTGTCAGTGGTAAAACCAGATGTTACTGTGCAACTGTTCAAGTCCCACGGACTTGTATATCCCAGAAGGAAAAATGTTTGGATTTTTTACTATTAGCATGCCATGAAAGAGCTGAAAAGAGTTTGAAGTTCTCTCTTGTGCCAATTTCCTGATTACTCTGCAGTTTTTGGAATAGCTTGAGGATTATGGATTTTCACCACAGCTGGCCAGTAGAAGTTGTATTTAGTGAAAATTCTGGGAAATTTTTCATTAAGTGAAGCTGTCATTTGCCTTTGAATCCAAGTCTCTTAAGATCAAGCTAATATTATACCTGAATCCTTTCTAATTTCTGGTTGGGGTAGTGTAAGAGATCTAAAAGCTTATTTTTACAGGTTCTGCATTTTTTTCCACCTATGTCTGCATTCTTTTGGTTTACCTGGTATAGGGGAAGTTGAGCTTTAAGTCAGCCAGAGATGTTTTAACTTCAAGTATATATGCAGACTGAACTGCATCTCTCTTCTGTTGCACCTGTGTTCTAACAGAACATCACTGAGTATAGCGTGGGCAAATTTGTACTTCTCAGAGATGCACTTCACGCATTGCATACTTCAATTTTTTTCTTATGTATACGTCAAGGAAGTTATAAGTAGCATGTACACGTATTCAAACTAATTTCTGTTCTGAAGGCCTGTTTTTTATTGTAGAGGTTAGCATCTAGTGAGCACACAGAAAAATAAGATCCTCCCTAAAGCTTTGCTTCTGCAAACTTACGGAGTGCCTCCACTGAAAGTGCAAAAGCTGGTGAATGAATTTCACTACAGCAATTAGCTGTGCACAGTAAGACTAGAAGAAAGTTACAGCTTATAGTTGGAGGAGTTGGAGCAACTTGGGTACTTTTTGGGTTGAATGTAGTGTGATTTCAGAAGCCTAAAAGGAAACTTTCATCTCCTGTTCAGAAAGAGAAGAAAATAGAATGAATTCTAGAACATTTGAGAATAACATTCAGTAGAGAAATTAGGATAAAATCCTGTCCCAATTTGAATAAAATTCTGTTGAGCAGGGTTCTACCAGCATACTGATTTCCAGCTTCCTTTGACTAAAGCCTAAAAAAAGATTAAAGCTCCATGGCAACTACTATCTTAACTCCTGACAGCCATAGTATAAATTACATCTTGGAAAAACCTAATACTGAAAAGTTTTATTTAGGTCACCAGTCAGGCTATGAAATGGAAGGCTTATAGATGCCACCCCAAACTTTTTGTCCCTGCATGGCATCAGTGAGGTAGAGGTTTTTATGGGAGACAAATTGAATGCTATATAACTATATGCAGGATGAATTTAAAAATCTGACAAGTTTTAGGTGTGTAAACTTGTTTCATACTCCTGTGGAAAAGACTGCAATTTACTTGCAGCTGTAATCTTCCGGGGAGGAATATGGCAAGGTTTAACTAGGAGACAGCAGCCCAGACAGGTATA